TTCTCTCTCTCTCTCTCTCTCTCTCTCTCTCTCTCTCTCTCTCTCTCTCTCTCTCTCTTTCTCTCTTTCTCTCTCTCTTTTTTTGTAATCTATATCTCTAGTGCCGATTGCGCTGGCATATTCGTCGGGAATGCGTTAGACAGTTCATGCTATCGACGAATTCGATGCATGTGAAAAATATTTTGCGCCGCCGGAGTGTCCATTAATTCTCAACTTGATGAAGATAAGAAAGAGTATAAACATGATACGAAATATTACGGGATGTCGATATATGTCGAGCGTTTGAAATCCTCTACTTTTCTCAGAAGGATCGCACAAAGCTAGTTTTCGAAATAATATTATGATGAATACACTTTTGAAACAAAAGCGCTGAAATTTTCTGAATTCGTATTTTTTTAAAAGCGATAATACCCGTAAAAACGAGTTTTCAAGCATATTAACCCGCATTAAACTTTTCAAAGTGCGCATCAGCGCAATTTGTTCGTACGTAAATCCGTAGTAATGCGGCAAACAGAACTTGTACATACAATAGGAACAACTAAACGAAGCGGATTAGGACAATTCGCGGCGCTTTATCGTCGCTCTGATGATATTTCCCGTTGCAACCCCGGCCGGCGTACGTGCGCGAATGCCGATCCGTCAGATCCTGCATCGAGACAGCGAGGGCAAAGCAGCGCGCGAGTGTGCGGGCGACGCGCGGAATTTACGGTCGACGAGCCGAATTTTTGAGACGCCGCGCTTTCGCATACAGAGGGTCCGGATTTCGGAGAGGCGACCTCCTCGGGCCACCGTGTGTATTCAATTTACCCTCCCCGTCACGGCGCAACCCTCCCGCACCCGTTGCTATCCGCCGTGTCTCGTAAATAAACGCTCGAGGAATGTTGCAGATGCTTGCGCGGGCATAAAACGGACGTAAAACAGACGTTCGCGAGCGTGAGGAGGACGTGGAAGGTTATAAAATGATCCCGGGGCGTGTGTGCGGTGCGCGCCCGGCCGAGGCATGTAAAAATACCGGTGGGGTGTCGTCCGTTCTTCACCTCCTGCGCTCACGGTCGAACGTTAAAGGTGCCGTAACACGCTTCCTTTTTACCGCGGCCGTTCGACGTCGCGCGCGCATTGAAAGATTAGGTTCGTCGGAAAAAAAAGTGATCGATCTACCGTATTATGCGCGTCTCTCTCTCTCTTTCCCGGAGGGGGGGAGGAGAAAGGGGGCGAACGAAGGAGGCAACGACGACTCGCACGACTTGATTTCTGCTCGCAAATTATTCGCCACCCTCGCCAGTCGGGCGAGTCGAGTGGATGTTATTAATAATGCAGAAAAACGCGGCGCGAGCGCTCCACTCTTTCCCCCTGTGGCGGCGGTTTAAAGGTGGGCTTATCTTATTCGTGAAATTTGTAGACGTCGTGTTTTTCAAGCGTGCCCATACGGTACGGTCGTATTACGAATGTAGAACGCCGCCCGTCGGGCGGAGAGAGTGTAAAGTTACTTAAAACGGCGCGAAATATTAATGCGCGGTGGATCGACGGCATTGTTGTTGCTTTAAGCGCCGGCGTTATTCCATCACTGTCATATCGCCCGTATTACAAGGCTGTGGCGATACCATCGAGATTTACGATCTTATGGACGAGATTTACGATCTCCGATCATCATCTCGTCGACAACATCATCGTTACTATTTATGCGTGTCATCTGCTATCTGTGTATTCGCGACGTCGTCATTTGTCCCTCTTCATTAAGTCTTTATTCTGCGGTGAGATTAATTTGACATTGATATTTAATAAGGAACGGCTAGGATTAGTATTTTTGTCGCCGTAAATGCGTTATAATTCTCATATGAAACCGATGGAGCTCCGTTATATATTCTGACGCTCATTTTCCATTTTCATACGGGACGTTATTACGCGACCTCCCCGAATTTTGCATTAAAATATTATTTAAATATTAATTCCCACGTTATCGCGTGAATAGTATATTCGAAGGCTTTGCAATTTTGATAATTTGTATATTTTTTATCTCCTATGTACTGTACGTCGAACTTTTGATTGAAACGGGAATTGTGTCGATTAATATAAAATATGTACACTTGCCTGAAATTAAATTTGCGTGGGACAGATTTTTCCGGCAGAAATATTAATCTACGTCAAATGAAACGCCATGAAGCGCTCGAGCTCAAAATAATTCGTGCCGCGATATCGAAAGCCGCAACATTGTTTTATTATACATAGAGATGCGCGCGAGGCTTTCATATTAAATTTAATGCCGTGCCATAAACGCGCGCGTAACAATACAAATAAAA